CCGGGTATTTGAACCCGCGTACTACGAGTCATGAGGTGGGAACGTTACCTCTAGACTACGGAGGCCGCTAATAAAATCTCTTAGAATGGCCCTTATTTAGAAGAGAATCTTACACTGATTTGAGGTGTGTGAACTGCCCACATTCAAGCAAACCGCCAAAGCGAGTACAGTGAAAACGCAAGTATCATTGCTTAGCAACGGCAAGTAAACAGCTGTTGCTAGGCAGAGCCTACAACAGTACGGACAGTGACATGTTTTCTGCCACAAAAGATTGTGGGATGTAATGTTTGTGTAAGAGTTCTAAATGACATTACTATAGGTCGCTCCCTAACTTCATTTATTTTAGATACAGTCAGTTCCAGAACGTTAGTATAACCATCATAGCATGGAAATTATACATAGTTTTATGTCCATATTAAATTTTTCTGCCATAATTCTTCATTGGCTTGAGACAACTAGGCATATCCATAAGTTCAAGATTTGTCCAGTTACTAAAAAAAGAGTAAGTATGAGGTTTGCATTATTACTGAAACTGAAAATTTTCAGAGTTTTTCGCTTTCACTGTGACTGTAGAGGTGTGAGCTTTGCACACTTACTTAGATATTATGGGTATAATTTTTGTTATATGACTAAGAATGTAGATTTTGTATTAGATTAAAATTTTATTTTAGCATGTCCTGTAAAAACATGTAATGCACTTCATGAGCCTGTATTCCAGGATGTAATGAGAAAAAGTTTGATTTACAGCACAGCATGCAGTTAATCAATTTAGAATGTGATTCAAACAGTGGCGTCTATGAGCTGGCTTCCATTTGTGATGTAACAAGGGATCGCCCTCATATAGCAGTACCTATTATATTTGCTCCAATCAAAACTGAAACCCAGGTGAGTTAAACAGCCTTTCCTATATATTGAACCTAGGAATTTGAAATTCCTTACTGAATTCCATAGTCATTTCAACCCAGCAACCTTCATGGCTCATTAGATCCATATGTCGAACCCATCATAATCTTCATTTGAATTTCCAGGTGATATTAAGAGAAAAGTTTAAATCACGTCAAAATGATTAATGTGGTATATGTTCTTTCCTCATAATAACCATGTACTCTACCAGGGAAAGTGACTGTGTTACTTGGAAAGTAAATAAGGCAGTAAATGTTTTTGAACTGAAAAATAAGAAACATTGCCTGAATTTATTCCATTAATTTTATCATGTACCTTAATTTTTATTGCCATTTCAATCCATTATGTGTGTGTGTTTTCTTCCCTAATTTGCAAGTAAAGCTATGAAAATGCATCTGTTAGTTGGCATATTTGTTCATCGGCATGTAACAATTGGAGAACCCCTGAGCAGGTTTTCATGAAATTGGATATTGGAAAGTTTTACTAAACTGTATCATTGTGTTTCAGTTTTGGTTAAAATCGGATAAAAATAACAAATACTTTATGTAATGACTTGCATACACATTTCTAGCATAAGTCACTAAATATTTTTCAGAAGGAAAGATGTGTCAAACAGACATTGTAGTGAAAAATGAAACAAGCATTTTGTGTCACATTTACAGAGGGTGAACAAAATAATGGAGGCACTAAGACATTGAGGAATAGAATTTGTGTTGGCTACATTGAAAGAACCTCAGTTGGCAGGACTGAATTATCTTCCATTTGTTTACATTCTGTAATGCTTGTGTAAGTGCATTAGTACTGTACTCAAAAGGCCGCGCCATAGCTTAAGTGGTTAGTTGCTGGCTTCCCACTGCTGCAGTCTTGTCAACTGGGATTTGTGATGGACAAAGTGGCGCTGGGGCAGGTTTTCCCTGAGTACTTCGGTTTCTTCCTGCCAATCCTCTTTCCATCAAATTCTCCATAAGCATTATCACCAGTACAGGTACAATAGGACATATGGAAGCCGACGTGCCGAGCAGACCTAATATGGATTCCACCTCACATTATACGAACTCTTAACTATTATAATCTACTGTAATCTGTTGTAAACAATTGTAAGTATTGTAACTTTATTCTCTTATTGTAATCAGCCAATGTACAGTAACTGACTTGTCCTGTATCATGTAACAATGATCTATAGAGATGAAATAAATAAATAAATAAATGAAGCATGATTTGTGTGAAAGAATTGGAAAATGGGAATTTGTCTGATTTTGAAAGAGGACAGATTGTTCATGTGTGTTTTGCTGGAACTCCTGTAGCAGAAACTACCACATTATTAGATGCTGAAAGAAGCAGATTCTAAGGTTATGTCGGTGTGCATGAACATGGGAAGACATCAGCAAAGAGGAACAGTGGGTAAAAATCAACATTGACTGAAAAGAGATTGTCATACATTGAGATGGATTGTTTTGAAAAATCACACTACTGCAGCACAGGTGACAGCAGAACTGAATATTCACCTTGACCCTGTTTCCACAAAACCTGTCTGACATGAGCTCCACAAATCGAACATCCACAGTTGGGCTGCATGAACGATGGCATCATATCCATAAAACCTGAACATCAGGCAACTGGTTATGCTGTCCTTCACATTGTTATCTACATCAGGAAGTTTACATTTGGAGAACACCCAGGGAAGCCAATCTGGAATGCCTGGTGCCAACAGTGAAGCATGGGGAAGGTTCTGTGTTGGCTTGGGCAGCATTATCATGGTATTCTGTTGGTCCCACTATTACCGTTCATGCCGAATTACTGCAAGGGAGTACATGGACAGGATGGATAATCAGATGCATCCCATGATCCAGACATTATTTCCAAATGATGCAGTTTTTGAAGATGATAGTGTCCCCAATCACACAGCTGGAACTGTTCAGTCATGGTTTGAAGAGCATGAAGGTAAACTGCAACATCTTCCCTGGCCAACACAATCACCAGATTTGAACATCAACTATGGTCAGTTTTGGATACTAGAGTGAGGAACAGATTCCCACTTCCAACATCTCTAAAGCAACTTGAAGATTTTCTTCAAGAAGAATGGTATAAAATTCCACTAGAGACTGTTCAGAACTTATACAAGTCCATTCCAAGAAGCATTGCAGCTATACCAAAGGCAGAAGATGGTCCAACACCTCATTAATAAAGAAATACGTACAGTATCTGTAGTGAAGAAAGCCATGTTCTGGGATGTGGCGCCATGTATAAATTGTGTTAACCAACGTTTCGGAGGAACGTATCGCCTCCATCTTCAGGGTAGAAAACAAGAAGAAATCCGCGAGCGAACCAGCTAGAGCAGGTGCAACAGACTTGTCTGCTTCTACCCTCAAGATGGAGGTGATACGTTCCTCCGAAATGTCGGTTAACACAATTTCTACATGGCGCCACATCCCAGAAGACAGCTTTCTTCATAGTCACCGCCGTGAAAACCTAAAATCGTAGATAGTATCTGTAGTGTTTTCCATTATTTTGTTCAACCCCTGTATATACTGAGTTTATTTCCATACTAATTTCTTTACTGACTTTTAAAGTGATTTTTGTTTTTACTTTGTCAGATTTGTGTTTTTGCTCAATAAATTAACATCAGCCAGCATTCATTACCAGCTAATGTAGACATTTAAATGCCTGTATCACCTTATATCTTTTGAATTTCATGTTCTAGAATGAGAAGCAGTGGTTTCATCCATTGTAAATTGGGAATATGTAAAATTATTGCTTACCTATAGAGACTTTAATGAGTGTTTTGTGTTTTATATCTAGTGTTAAATATATTCTGTTCCAGGAGGAAGGTAGTACAAGTGCTAGAGAATGGACCGATAAAATGCAATCACAGGACAGGTGTGTGCTAATTTGTGAATTTATTATTAGAGAAGAAATGTCAGAAACATTAGAGATTTCCACACAATGAAGTGACTTCTGAGAAAACTGCATTTCCCTTTTCAGCACTTTGGAACAGTTCAGCCTAACTGGCCCAGATATATAAATATTTGCCTGGAATCTGCCATGTTTCTTCTGTAAGATTCACTAATATTTGGACACTAGATTTCTGGTTGTCTTCAAAGTAATTTCTGTTTGCAAATGTTTCTGCCTAGCAGGAAAGATCCCTATTGCTTTTCAGTGTACCTGAGGGTCAGCATTATTCTTTAATATAATTTCCACTTGAGAAGGATAGTGTGGTCAACACCTGCTACCTGTAATTGTCAGTATGCAATGCATTTGCAGATGCAGGAAGAATACTATGCATCATTTAAGTGGCATATTCGTTCTGTACCTTGTCTTAAAGTTCTTGTGTCTTTTATTGGATAGTGAGAATATTCTGTATAGAAGACATGCGCATGTTTAGACATTTTATGACAGTATTGTTTCTTGAAAACCTGTATTAATTTTCAGTTTCATATGCTTGGTTAAAGAAGTTTCAGATTTAAGTTACACAGAAACATGAATGGGGAAATATTAATATCACCTTCCATTGTTTTGTTTACAACCAAGAACTCAGAACCCAACAAATCCTTCGTAAGGAAAATTGGATACGTGAGTTGACTTTCTGAAAATAATATAGTAAAGTACTTGTTAATGAATTTCTGAGGGAATGACTTTTACACTAAATTGAGGTTGTGCAAAATTACATGAAGGGGCTGTTCTTCTAGGACTTATATAATTACGATAAAATGATTTCTTTACATAAGTAGTTAAAGTTTAAATACAAATAATTACAGGTACTTGATAATATAATAGTGATTTCAAAAATAATTAATGACACAAGAAATAAATACTGACAGAACATGAGTCAGGAATTAGAACAACTTTGATGCCACAAGCAGTGTTGTTTCAGTGTATGTTCAGTATATGATGTTACTTGTGGCTATGTTGATGCTTTCCACATGTCCCTTCAGAAATGAGATTCTTTGTGTTTATGCTGATACATGGCCTTTCCACTGTATTCACACAGTATGGGTTGCTACCTTTCCTACACAGCTGTAGTAAAAATAATTTATGCTAAAGGTTACCATTCAGCTTGCAGTATCTGTGTTACATATGTCTCAAAAGTGCTTGTATCTGCATAAGACAAGAGGCCCCTATCTTCCTTGTACTTATGGTCTACCAGACCCAACTTTCATGTCATGGAATGGATCTCTGTGTACAAGATGTGGATTTTCTGTGCTCCAATATCTGTCATAATGTGTTATATACCCAGGTAAAACCATGAAAAATGTAAACTTAAGATCAAGCTTGCCACCATGAACTGACATACCAGAAATTACAGGATCACATGGCTATAACATATGCACAGCTTTTTTTTTTAATGGTTTCATTTATTTAGTTGAGGTTCTTGCAAGATCCCCTTTAGCTTGGACATGGATAAGTTTACACTGAACATCGGGTGTTTTATATATTAGCATGTAGACCCACTGCTAGGCAATGAACGCAAAATAAGCAACTATACAACAGCTGTCACTAAGTAACAGCTCTGCAAACAGGCATGTTTCCATAGCAACAATTGCACTGCAACAGAGGAAAGGTGTTTTCTAGATAGTACGTGCCAAACTGTTATAAGCAGGGCCAGTTAGCTGTTGCATTTAGTGGACAGCCAGTCAGTTACATAACCACTGGGGTTCTGTTGCTGTGAGAAGCTGGTAGCTGAGGTGAGGGACAGTTCAGGAACCCAGAGGAAGCGGAACATCTGCCATTGGAAGCCACTACCAAGCAACGGCTAGTGAAGACTGTGACAGACAGAAAACCTAGTGTCCTAAAGTGATTTGTGAATTGTAGTAACAAGCTGTATGAGTGTGCAATAAATCTGATTACCAGTACAAACCCTGTCTGTAGTGAACTCAGTCACGAGACAATATGAGTATTACGTGAACTATGAGTCTGTTTGGAAATGTTAGGAAATCCAGAAGAAAGGTTACTGCAGTTCGACTTCCTCACACAATGACTTCAGTAAAATGAGAAATGCTGACATGTTAGTAGGAAACCAAAATGACAAGCTTGAATACTGACACAAATGTTGGACAGTAGGAGACTTCAACTTGAACATTCACTCTGCCTCTTTAAGTGCTTTGCACACGAAATGGAAGACCGCAAACACCACAACAGAATTATTGAAACTAGCTGTACAAAATCAGTTACGAACTTTCTGCAGCCACTTGACCAGTATATTTTCTAACTTCAGTCAATTCATGATGGCAAACTTGATCCAAAGTGGAAGTTTTTTCATGGGAGGCTTGACTTTGCTTGAATGGACATGTGAGCATAAACAAAGGAAATCAGAAATCTACATCTTATACTGAAATCTCATTCCATGATGTAAAAGTTTTGTATTTGGTGTGCCCATAGTTAAAGGAACTTTATGGATTTTGTCAACTCATGGTGGCAAACTTGATCACAGGTTTAAATTTTTTTTATGTGATGCTCAGCTTCATTTCAATGGACATGTGAGCACAGAAGATTGGAAGTCTAAATCTTATACCGAGAGCTCACTCCACAATGTAAAAGTTTGATATTTAGTATGCCCCGAGTGCAGGGAACTTTATGGGCCTTGTGCTTTCTTCAGACAGCATGAAATCTTAGGTATATTTACTGCAAGAGAACGAGTAATATTCAGCGTACAAAGTTATCACCACAGCTCATCAAGTAGAAAATTGATGGTCAGTGCAGTGAGTGGGCACAGCAGAAAGGCCATGTCATGGCATAGTCGCCAAGTATTCTTGCTGCATAATAGCTGCAGACTGTTTGTTAGCTCTGATATAGTAGTGAGAATGAAGGACAACAGGACTGTATTCTCGTCTTTATCATAGAGTGGAGCAACTTGTCATTCCGCTGGATGATGTTCCCGAAAGCAGCTCTTCAGGGAGACTTGATTCAGGTGGCAACTATCAGCAGCAGGGATACTTCATATACAACTTACATAGTGGGGATGGAGGTGAGGTGTTGAGCAGCCAGCCAGGTGGTGTTTCTGAAGGCATTCCTTCAGTGAAACTTGACTCAAATATTGACCGCCAACAGGGGCATCTAACATGTGACTTGAGTAACGGGAATGGAGAGAAACCAGATGACATTCCAGAAGGTAGATCTTCAGCACAACTTAACTCAAATGTCAACTGCCAACAGGAATATGTGACATGTGATGTGTGTAATGGGTCTGGATATTTAATGCATGGATTACCTGTTACTAGAAAGATAAATCGGTGTTAGTGTTCTGTGATACTGATGTCAGTTCTGTTGGCTCTTATAGACATTGTAATTCTCTTGAGATGACATGTTAGTCCCCCCTTGGAACTGTATGAGGGAAATCAGAAATATTGTTTTTTTAAGTCTCATGATGACAGTGTAATGATAGAAGAAAATACACTTCAAAATGTAAATAGATCATATGACGCTGTTTCCCTAATGTACCAATAAGAAGACTGCTGTTATCTTTCTGGGTTAATTTAATGTGATTCCAGGACACAGTCTGTTAACAGACATACCTTTCTCTCTTATCTTTTGGATTTCCTTAGTAAATGTCTTTTTTTTTCCCATGAATGTTACACGCCCAGTTATTTTGGCACTCCTAGTATTATTAGGTAAAGAAGATGGATTAAGAAATGCCTCACTAACATTTTCCACTTTCCTTTCATCTCTCTCAGGTCCATTGTGTCTTTTTGTCAATATTTTTAGTAGATTTTATACTAGCAAAATGAAAGAACATAGATTACAGTTTCAGATATTTTAATATTTAACATTTTGGACAGTAGAAGAAAAAACGGTAATATTAAAATGGATCTAAGAGAGATAGGTTGTGATGATGTGAACTGCATTAAACTGACTCAGGATAGGGTTCTAATGCGTTTTTGTAATGCCTGATGAAACTTGAGGTACCACAGAGTTTTGGAGCAGCTGAATTTTGACTCTCAGGAAATATCCTTATCAGACTTGTTGTTATGTACCTGGATTTTAGTTACAAAATATCACATGATCTTTCTTTCTTTCTTCCTTTTATTTATCAATCAGTGTTTTTACTAATTGTTAAATAATTTTCATGTTGTATGTTATATTTATATTTTCTGCTAATAAATTAACATCATGATATACAGAAGACTGATAAATGGCATTCAGTTCCAGTTGCCCCTGCTTATTTTCAGCTTTCTTAGTTGCACATAACTGAAGAAAACTGAAAGGCATATGGTATATTCAGTGGTGAGGGTGCTGGTCCTGTGATTGGGTGACTGCTATTTAGCAGTGGGCCGTGTTGCTATTCTTTTGGAAGAATACTGTTGTCTTCATTTTCAGGGTCAATCCTGAAGATGAAAACATGTTCCTTTAAATTGTTGGCAACATGATCCATTTCCATGCTTTACAAAACCCTAGGACATCCAACTTGCTTTCTTTAATTGTATATTTAGCAGATATTCCATTTTTGTACCTGTTATATCATAATCCGACCTTTCTGGAGACACCATTATGGCACCTGAAACCTTGGTCTACTAAAAACATGTCATGTTTTATCCTCAGCCAGTTCTATTTGAATTCTGAGACACTTGTTCATTTCCACGCTTATGAAATGCATGCATGCACTGTTTGGAAAGTACTCCATATGACAGTGATCTCTGCAAACTTGTTGGGGAGGGGGGGAGGTATGTGAAACATCAACACTTAAAACACACTGCTTTGTTGAAGTGAGTTACATCTCTTGGCATATGATTGTAGGTAATTAAAGTTACTTCATTTCATGACAAATATGATATACTGCCATTTACTACATTACATTATATTCATTTATATATGTATTTCATATACATGCACTTAAAACAATAACACATTACACTTCATACTACATTTGTAACCCCCCCCCCAAAAAAAAAATTAAATTTCAAGTATATGAATTTAACAAGCTGTCTTTAGTCCATGGCTCATGTCAGTTAAAAGTGTCAAAAAACTAATGTTACATATTTGTAGTATGCTTCAGAAGTTATACCCTCAATGGATTTGTCTCAAGAGTCTCTGACTAAATTATTATATTTAAAATACATGTTTATTTGTTTTGGTATACTTTCCATTTCTTAATCTATATTTACATGCTTCCAAATTGTCAGGATGAATTCAAGATAGATAAATTTCCACGGAGTCCTCCCTTCTAAATACTGAGATTAAATGTGACCAGACATACTTAGGACCGAACTAGAGCTTCGAATCTGCTTCTTTAGGTCTTCTTATTCCTCTGTTCTTCCTGCCAATTTCATTTTTACGATATGTTACAAACAGAAGAAATCTAAAAAATCAGATTATTTTATGTTGAACACAATTCTGGACCTATTTAATGGCACAAATGACACTGTTGCTAACCAACAATCTACACCCAGCAACCAAACACCACAATATACTTACACATTTAATTTGTATACTATCTTACAAATAATGTAAAACCCTAACCAGACACTGCTATTTTGAACACAACAGTGAACCTGTTTAGTTGAAGAAATCAGATCTTCCTCGACAAACATGCTATGCCGTCCAATCAGTTGACACAATATAATTGCACATTTCAAAATGATGCTAAACAAAGACAGTTAAAGTGGTATTTTCAAACTAGAATATAGACAGCATTTGCAATGAGTGCTGTCTATATTCTAGGCATCATGGCAATAAATTGTCAAGCCCTGGTGAATTATATTAACTTGCTTTGTCTTGTATGGTTTCCTTGTAAAGTTGTCTCTCAACTGGTGAAGAAAAGACTGCTTTTAAGATACACAATTTTATTACCGTTACCTGTCCAGAAAAGTCTGTAATTAGACACTGCCCTAAGTGACTTTAATTCAGTCCATATTGTCACATACTGTTTATCATATATCTATTTTAATATCCTCCCACCTACACTTAGTACTCAGGGCTACCAAACTGTCTCTTTGAGGCTTCTGAACCTAAATTCTGTATTAACTCTCCCCAGTTATCAACCCATCTCATCCCCCAAGATTTAACCATCCCATCGGTATTAAGTTTGGAGTACAATGTGTGCAAAATATTAAATTGAATTATTTTTATATTACATGTAAAGAATGTCAGGTATCATTAATGAACATGGTCAAATTCTTTAACCCAGTGCTGAACTGTTGCAATAGACTCATTCCATCACAACAGATGACATTATGATTATAAGATAACATTCTAATTTTACACCAAAGAGTTGATTCATACTTGTGATTTTAAATGTACAAGCTCTCTTTAGAGCTACAGTGTTTTTGAAGAGATGTTTCTAGTTTGGGGCTACTTTTCAACTCAGCCTTGCTAGTCTACATAAGGGGTGGGCACATTACTGCCTCCAAGAGATACTGTTAAAATTAGCCTTTAGTGTTTGTAATTCATATCAGCATATTTTCAAATTGAAATTATAAAGTTTGGCAGCAGCATCATCTGTTGCACTAATATGAGTAACTGCACTGATTATACAATTATACTCATATATTTTTGCTAAAAAAAATACTGAGTTGTCCTGGCATGGCAAAACACTTGCAACTATGAAGTTTTCTACCTCATGGTTTGAATATAATTTTGACGTTTATTTGGCACTTCCATATATAAAAAGGAATGCACATTTTATGTAGTCACATTTAAAATTAAGTACTTAACATTTATCATGGACCAGTATAAGTTCCAACCAGAGTGTAGAAATTATTCATCATGTTTCAGAGATTTCTCTTTATCATGAACTTGAAGGTGTTTCTTTAAAATCCAACTAAAGGAGAATTTCTCTTCACACCTACTGCAAGCATAAGGTTTCTCTCCAGAGTGAATACGGTAATGACACTTAAGGTTCCAGCTACTAGAAAATGTCTTATGGCATACATTACAGTTATTTTCGCCTGTGTGTTGTCGAAAATGATCATTAAGTTTTGACCGATTCCGATATTTCTTCATACAAACACTGCAGCTGTACGGTTTCTCTGTGGCATGGCTCTGTAAATGTTTACCAAGATCGGTCTTGTTGGAAAACTTTTTCTTACATTCATCACAATCATATGGTTTCTCCCCCGTGTGAGTACGATAATGAATCACAAGATTATAGCTAGAGGAAAACATTTTAGCACAAACATCACATATCAAAGTTTTTTCACCTGTATGAACACGATAATGCCTTTGAAGTTCACTCTTGCTAACAAATTTCTTTCCACACAGGTCACAGCTATAAGGCTTATTACCAGAATGAATGTAAGAATGTATCTTCAGAGAGAACCTGGTTGAGAACTTTTTTTCACATACCCCACAAGAATGTGGCTTTTGACCTGTGTGGTTAATCATATGCTTCTTAAGTTCTGAACTATTTATGAATTTCTTTTTGCATGTATCGCAATGGTATGGTGTCAGTCCTGTATGAGTACGGTAATGCTCATTAAAATTTGAGCTATGAGAAAACGATTTGTTACATAAGTCACATACATACGGTTTCTCTCCCGTATGTAGACGATAATGACTTTTCAAAGAGAAACTAGTTGTGAATTTTTTATTGCACACATCACAAGAGTAAGGTTTTTCTCCAGTGTGAATTCGAATGTGTTTCCGTAAATCTGAACGGTTTGAAAAAGTTGTAGGGCAAAGATCGCAACGATAAGGCTTGTCTCCAGTATGGACACGATTATGTTCCATTGCTTTCCCTTTAGTTGCAAACTTTTTATTGCATACATCACAACTATACGGCTTTTCCCCTGTATGATAACGCAAATGTACTTTCAGCGAGCTTCTGTAAGAAAATGTATCATTACAGACATCGCATTTATACGGTTTTTCACCTGTATGTTTACGAATATGACTCTTGAGATTACATATGTTTGAAAACTTTTTACTGCATACTTCACAGTGATGTGTTAGCCCTTCTTCCATTCCATTACACTCTTCAATGACTGTTGTGCTAAGGTACCTTGTCGGATTTATGTCAAAATGCCCATAATTGTTATAAACACCAGCTTCTGTAATGTGCTCATCTTGATTGTTTATATACATGTCTTCTCTCATACAGTCAATGGGAAAATCACTTTCTTGTTGATCGTCCATTGATCTGAAAAGAATATTGATATATATCAAGGTACATATTCATGTGTGGACAAAACTCCATAGCTTGGCCATTTTTCACAAAATTCAGTACTGGCCAACATAAACCTTATTCTTGAAAATGAGTACATGGAAGATTCAAACATTAATACGTCCAGTGACAGACATAATGCTATGTTTTGATGGTTAGTTGTTTTTTAAAGTAACTTTTCTTTACAAACATCCATTTCACAAGACTAGGGCTGTGACATCATAATTAGATTTGTCAACTCTGATAATATTACTTGTAGAAAGATGGTAAAACTCATGGTAGTACTTGAATACCATTACATGAGAAATGTTGAAAAGTAAACAGCATAGAAACATAATATTACAATTCTGGACAGCAGGGCATGGTTCATGGCCATGTAAATTATAATATTATGGTTCCCAGCACAAATGTGTCACAAGAATAGTGTGTTGGTTTACTTTGAGACTGGATCCAATAGGGCAACTGAGTGCTTAACTTCAAATGCTATTATTTGAAAGCACTATTACCCAAAATTGTGGTCGTCATTACTTCCATTTGATTCCCTGAAAACTCAAGAAACCTCTTCCCAGAGGTTGTGGTCTCTTTACAGTTATATTAGACACTGATGAATAATTTGCTATTAAAATGAACTAAGACAGCACTTACCTGTTCATACACATCTGATTATCCTCTATTTCTACTTCATCCGTCAACTCTTCTTTGATTGGTATGTCCTCCTATTACACAACAGAACTCTAATGTAGGCAGACATATATATGGTTTTAATGAATTAATGAAACAGATAAAATTAGAAGAATATGAGAAATCAAGGGAACAAAACATAAATTTTGTGACAGTAAGAGCAATACAGTATTCCTTGTATATATATGGAAATAAATATAACAAATAGACAATATCAGAGTATATTTTGACTTTGTTGCCTGCTGACTGTTCTAAATTCTCAACTGAAATCATTAATCTATTCGAGATTTGAAGTTCTCACAGCAGTGACAATAAAGGATACTGTCTTCTGGGATGTTACACTACATAACTGCATACCATGCATGTTTCATTTGAGTATTCACTACTGCTGATAAAATGCCACACCAAATGACACAAATTTCCTATGCCGTAATTAACCAGTGACAGAAATATAAATTTGGTCAAGATCTTCAGACTTAAGACACACTGAAAGGGAAATGAGGAAATCTTCCAGGCTCCAGGTTTGACAGGTAAAAATCTGTGCCATGTCCAGCCTGCCTTGACGCTACACAGTGTTTCATTTTCACAAGAAACACATGTCATAACACTGTTCATCTATTATTTTTTCACTAGATGGTTATATACAATAATTAGACAAATATTTTGTCTCAAACAAGGGAAACTACATAAACTAAAAAAACTCACCATAACTTCAGTCTTTATTATGGGCACTGCAACTGATATGGGATCCTCTTCTTCCTTCACCTCATTGACAAGGAATATTAAATTTTGCTTGTCATCTGAATCAGGGTGTGTGCAGTTTAGATCCAAATTTTGCTGTAAATAACTTTATTTGTATTCAGATTTATCAGAATTACATATTAGATATCTCTTCTTCACAATCATATATTAGTTATGGGGCTATGCTACAAGCTGGAAGGTCGCAGGTTCAAGTCCCAATGAGGTCATTGGATTCTTTTCAATTGACCTAATCCTTCCAGCTGCATTATAGCCCTGGGGTTGGCTCAGCCTCTAAGAGAAGTGAGTACCAGGAATTAATTAAATAATTTTCCTGGGGAGTAAAGCGCGGCTGGCGCATAAGACTGACAACCTTACCGCCATCTATGAGCTGACTGTCTAGATAATGTGGGACCCTCAACGCCTCACAACCCTATGGGCCTTCATGGCCTCGTACAGGGATAGCTTTACTTTTACTTTACTGTATCCATAATACTCCCAGAATGCTGTAATAATTGCATACATTCAATGCAATGTCAGTGGTGAAAACGGTTTAACATTCAGTATTTATAATAATGAAATACAGCTCCATACAAATCCATCCTTGATCTGTTCTTTCAACTAAAATGAGACAATATTTGTTGCTAACACTGAAAATGTCCTATTAATTTAAAAGAACAAAGCTGATTGTTCTGTATTAAGATATAGGAATATGCTTTCTGACAAAGAATATACCACCATTTGCAATTCTCTTCACCATGTTATTTGGCATCATAGATTTAAAATCTGACAGGAGTAAATAATGTAAGTTTTTACAAATGAAAACCAAATATGCAAACCCACCTCATCTTCGTGTTTAATTATAGGTATAAACTGCTCTTCCTCTTTCACATCACTGCATACTGATGTAATTTGAGCCTCACAATCTGAATCAGCTTCCACTTTAATTATATCCATATTGTGCTGTAAAACAGATTCCTAATTTCAGGTATTGAAATATGTCTTAGCATGCACAACAGTTCCCCATTAGATCTCATCCATTTACACAATTCATACTGTACTTCATTCCCCATTTATTCTGTTCATGCTTCAATTTATGTCACACAGGCAAGTACAAAAAATAATTTCATATACAGGACTGAAAATTACTGTCAGAGCTGCTCAACAAAAATCATTCCATTGCAACATTTTTTTAAATTCCAAATGCATGCATGTCTGAGAACATGGCACTAAGTGGGACTGTATCTTAAGAGGCAGAAAGAAACAGGAGGATGAAGAAAACTTCAAAATGAGGAGCTTCAGAATTTCTACTTTTCACCAATTATTAGGATGATCAAATCGGTGAGATTGGCAGGGCATGTAGACCGAATGGGATATGTGGCATAGATACAAAGTATTGTAGGATAACCTGAGGAAAAGATGTCACTTGGAAGATCCAGCCATTGATGGTGTATGTTAAAATGGTTTTTGAAGAAACAGGATCTTAGGGGGTGGACGAGAATAATCTGGCTCAGGAGAGGGAACAGTGGATGCTTTGTGAGCATAGAAACGAACCATTTGCTTCCATACAATGTTGGGAACTTCTTGAAGAACTGCACAACTAATTACTTTTCAAGAAGGTCTCAAATGGTAAGATTACAGAGTATTGAATTGTTTTGGGCGTGAAAGGAAACGGTCATGACCTCATATGAGAGAAAATTCCAACATTTGCATGGACTAAGGGAGATGGAAAATAACAAAAAACTTCACTCAACCGGTCGTTGGTCTGACCGAGATTCGAACCGGGCACTTCTCGAGTAGAAAGAAGCACAAACTAACACTGGGCTTGTTACACCGCTACCACGGATCAGTCACTAAACTTTATGGTAGTCTACGTAATTGCTGCAAGAAGCTCACACAATTTCATTCAGACCATAACAGAATACAGAGAAGCACGCTTCACACATGAAACAATTAAAGAATATCTGATTATTTACGTTATATTGCTGATGCTATTCTAAACGCGAAAAACTTACGCTGTTGTACTTTCTAATTCATACGGAATTTCTAAGCTTTCTAAGAAGCCGTGAGCGAAGGTTTTGTTGTGGAATCCGACAGTCGTGAAATGGTCGAGTTAAGTGGATGTTATCCATATAATTGTAAGGTGTTGTCAGTAAAGAGCGTAATTTTGTGTGACAAGAAGATGAAGATTTAGTACAATGGGGAATCAGTTGGTTGGTATAGCTCCTTCTCAGATTTTTCCCGTGGAACATTACTTGACAGATCATGCGGATTTACAATTTGACGTAAAGTAAGTAAGAGCTGCTATTTACAATATGAGCGTATATTGCACTATGCAGTTCGAGAATGTCGGAAATATGACAATTATTTGAGGTAATGTGTCATTTACAAATGTTTTAAAACTTAATGATCTGAATACAGCAGTAACAAATAGTAGTGATATTCGAAATTAAATTAGGATTGAAAATGCTTATTGTTTAGTTCAATAATTTATAGATCCTGTCTCCCTTGGGAAACAATAGGGATAAAGCATCTAAAGCAATAATTTTGCCAGCTGTCTGTATGGAGAAAATTTTGATGATGAAATCTCCAGAAAATTGACCAATTGAAGAACTGTGAAGGATTTGTTGTTGTTTATGTTTCTCTACATAAATGATCTATCTAAAACCATCAACAATAAATCTAAACCAATTCTATATGCAGATGACACTAGTATAATATTTAAGAANATTGGTTGCACATATAGCATTCATGGGTTGGATGACAAATGCATAAAATATTTTGGTTGGAGAACCTGAGGGAATGAGACCACTTTGAAGACCTAGGTATAGGTGGGATAATAGCTTTAACATCATTCTTAAATATGTGAGACTTGTGGCTCTCATGGCTGTGAGTATCAAGGTTGCAATTTTCTGGGATATGACACCATGTAGTTTGGTAGATAGTTACCAACATTCTTGAGGAATATGCTGTCTCAAACTTCTTTATTGAATGTTCAGGGTTGCAGATGGAGGCAGCAGGTTCTTCATGGCAATGTAATGATTTTTCACATGTCTAATTATCTCTTGTGATGTGCAGATCATGTTATTTTATTATGTTACATTTCAGTCTAGGCAGTACACGGTTCCTCAAAGTAGCAAGAGCTCGTACACAGGAGGGTCTGATCGTGGTGAAGGTATTTGCTATTCATGACCCAACCCTACCGCTAGCAGCACACAAAGAGAAAATTGAAGAAATCCGCAACAAGCTTGCACCAGCAGTCAATTGCCTACCCTTTCAAAGAACCCTGGTAAGTAAGTATCACATATATCCTCTCCTGCTGTCTGTAGTGTGATTTGCTACCGAGATTTTGGAGATGATGAGGGTGCTAGAATTGCCAGTGGGAACACCACATAATATGTGTAATAATGATTGTTAATAGTTGAGTGCTTAAATACTCAGTCAGTGATGTAATGATTTATGTTAAGTATTGCTAGAAACTTCTGTCCTCTTTGTTTCATTGCAGCTTACCGAGAAAGCAGGGTTTATTATGCGTGAATATGTCAAGTATAGTTTATATGATCGCATCAGTACACGTCCATTCTTAACTGACATCGAGAAGAGATGGATTGCATTTCAAGTCTTATATGCTCTGCATCAGTGCCACAAAGTGGGGGTAAGTGACATACTTTTCATATATCTGTACAATATCGTTCCAATTTTAGTATATGTACCGCTGAAGCAGTATGAGAGCCAGGATAGCGTAGTTGGTATAGCGACTTGCTACTGGCTGAACAACCAAGTGGTCAGAGTTTGAGTCCCGGTAGGGTCAAGAATTTTGTCTTCTCCACGTCATTCATACTGGGTCTGAGGTCCACCCAACCTCCTATCCAACGGGTACCAGGGGCTCTTTCCCCAGGGGTAAAGAGGCTGGGGCATGAAAATGACCACTCACCTCCAGCTAGTGCTGAGGTCAAGAAAATTTGGATCTATAGATTCCCTCCCCATATGCCTTCACAGCATAGTGCTTAATTAGTTGAGCACAGGGACATTACCTTTTATATCTGTACAGTATAGTCGTCAGTCATTTATGGCTGTTTTACTTGCATTTTGTTTTGACATTGTTGCACTGTTTATTGACATTATCTGTAACAGTGTCAGTGTTAACTGTTTTGTCCCATATTTGAATATATTTTTATATTTCTCATACTATCTCAGTCCAGTGATTGGTGGAATTTATTTTACTTTAATTTAATTTAACCCTTTACAGGAAAAATTTCCATCTGAATAAGACTTAAATATTCAGTTCCTTCCTCAGAGGAAGTACATTGTGTCCATATTAGTAAGACCAACGAATTAATGTTGTCAGGAGAAATGATCATTTATTCCAAGTGTCATACAGAACAAACAGATACACTCTGGGTGGGAGAATGCAGTTTTTAAATGTTGAAGTAGTTTGAATGTGTAGTAACTGTTGTGCCATTAAAGGGTTCATTTGCTTCATGTTGTGTTTTTGTTGGATCTAGTAAGCATAAAAAACATTAATTTGTTCAGGATTTTGGCGGTAGGTGGGTTACATAATGTGGGTACTTGCAAAAGGAGCTGAAAAGCCCATGGTCACAATAGTGTAATGTTCTTCATGCAATTCTCCTACCTCTAGTATGTTGCCACTCATTCTCTGCGTTAGAATATGCTGTTTGTTAAGACATGTTTACTTTCCATTCCAAAACTTATTCCATTATTGATTTATTTATTATACATCATTTATGTAGTGTGCATAAATGAATTCACAATAGGGAGGTAGTAATGTGTCAATCTGCTGCATGTTTAATCTTCATACACATATTTTACTATTTGGAGTCTATGCTGAAAGTTGTAGAAAATAAAGTAAAATTTTTTTCTCTGATTGCAGATCACATTTCATCAGTTAGTTTTCTCAAAAATGGCTTATTTTAAAAATTACTGATGCATAACATAAACTACAGATCATATTAAGATCTGCAGTGTTTATATGAATCATGTTTTGGAATGGTGAAGTCCATATTTACACACAGCATAGTTTATGCTTTTGATTCCAAAGAATTAGGCTGAAAATAAGGGTGTGCTGTGTACACAGTTCAGTTGGTCTCATTTATATAATACCGGAAATATGTTTTATATGTATAGTTGCATGCATGTGTGTAGAATTGTGAATAATGTGTTTGGAAACTATTCACCAACTTGGAATACACCTTTCCACATTTGCATTTCAACCAGACAGATCACAGTGTAGTGAAATGCAATGCAGGTTGTTTCACAACAACCTGATTTCCAGAACTCTGGAAATACCCATTTGTTCCAGGTGTGTCATGGGGACATCAAGCTTGAGAACATCCTCATCACATCATGGAACTGGGTGCTTCTAGCAGACTTTGCATCTTTCAAGCCCACATATTTGCCTGAGGACAACCCAGGAGACTACTCATACTTTTTTGATGCGTCAAGAAGACGGACATGCTACATTGCTCCAGAGAGGTTTGTGTTAACTACTTCTTAATTCACTGTAGTGTTATATGTTTTCCTCAACTATTGTGTACAACTGACAGATATCAAGTGTGTTACAGTTATTGTATTGCTTCTCAATTTTGCTTGTAAGCAGAATGCATTGTTTCATAGTTGCATTCAGACTAATTTGTAGGTTGACCAAGACACAGTTTAGTAACATGATAATTTACACGTTTACGGTTCCATTGAAGGGACATATTTCCTGTGTCAAAACCATATTGTTAAGTTCTATATTCCTATAATTGCTGTCCCTCATACTTCTTCATGGTGTGGTGCTTATGTAGTTAAGAACAGGAAGAACTTTACATTTATTGACAAGTTGTGTTTGTGTCTNACAATATCCATTTGTTCCAGGTGTGTCATGGGGACATCAAGCTTGAGAACATCCTCATCACATCATGGAACTGGGTGCTTCTAGCAGACTTTGCATCTTTCAAGCCCACATATTTGCCTGAGGACAACCCAGGAGACTACTCATACTTTTTTGATGCGTCAAGAAGACGGACATGCTACATTGCTCCAGAGAGGTTTGTGTTAACTACTTCTTAATTCACTGTAGTGTTATATGTTTTCCTCAACTATTGTGTACAACTGACAGATATCAAGTATATTACAGTTATTGTATTGCTTCTCAATTTTGCTTGTAAGCAGAATGCATTATTTCATAGCTGCATTCAGACTAATTTGTAGGTTGACCAAGACACAGTTTAGTAACATGATAATTTACACGTTTACGGTTCCATTGAAGGGACATATTTCCTGTGTCAAAACCATATTGTTAAGTTCTATATTCCTATAATTGCTGTCCCTCATACTTCTTCATGGTGTGGTGCTTATGTAGTTAAGAACAGGAAGAACTTTACATTTATTGACAAGTTGTGTTTGTGTCTATTGAATTATGGTCCAGAGACTGTCCTAACTTTGGTCTATTATTTTCTTACCTCAGTTCCTCCAAGAAAATGCTCAGATGTAGTAGTTTAAAGTAGACCATGACCACTTCCAGTCACATACTTTTCAGTTCATAATTTAAAATCATTACACCATTTGAAGCTGCATAGTATATACAGTTTAAAAGAAGTATTGTTTGCCTGAAGAATAGTATTCATCAGGTAGGAAGGAGCACCGGACCTTATCACATTGCACATTTATGAAAGCTTATATTGTGGACTCTTTGAATGAAATGAAGGTGTATGCTGAGGGTTAACAGCTCAGTTATTTTCCCGTTATTGTTATCGTCATCATGCTTTTATGTATTAAACCTAATTGACCTGTTACAGATATTACAAGACAATATACCCATTTATTTTTAGTTTCCTCTAAGTATCTTCCTCTTGAATGCATATTTTATAATTTTTTGTTATATTCTTTAAGAGGTCATATTTCTTTTTCCCAGTTTGCATGAAATCTGTTAATGATGAAACTGGAACCTTTTTTTTATTACTTTCAAGATATTGTATGAATGGTATACCACTGGTTTTTAAAGACCTTTACATCTTCTTCAGTTCTGAAGTTGTATATCAAACAAAATCAAATCATAGTACTTTGTCATCATAACATAAATATTGAATTTTTGTATTTTTTGTATTTAGAATTATTTAAATGTTCTTTCTTAAATTTTACCACTTTTCTTTTAATTATAAATACAACTGCATGCTTGTGCTGGTATATGTTACAGTTTTGAAAGCTGAAACCCATTCTTTTACCATTATAACTTGTATAACTTCAGGTGTTCCTTTGAATATTGTTTGAATCTTGTTTGAGGAGAATGTCAATAGGTAGAACTGAAAATATTTCTAATATCTGAAAGATTTTATGCTAGCAACATTGAGACACTACAGTGAAAAACTTTTGTCAGCATGTCAGTCTAGACATGTCTAGAGAATTTTACTTGATCATGTGCATTTCCATCTGTAGATTTATACAGACGCTGAATCCAGATGGTTCCAGTCAAGTCTTACTGCCAGAAGAGAGTCTCCGCAAGGGAGACCTTACCCCAGCCATGGACATCTTCTCAGCTGGCTGTGCACTGACTGAGCTGTTCAATGAGGTGCATGATGCCCCATTTGACCTTTCAGAGCTTTTAGCATACTGTTCTAGTGAGGACAATGACTTTAAGCATCTCGACAATTTGGAAGATCCAGATATAAGGGTAAGTTTCACATCAGGTTCTTCTCTTCTTTGCATTATCTCCAGAAAATTGATTGCTCGTTTCAGTAAGTTATGACATTTTCAGTGTTAGCTTTTACTGAAGTACATAATACAATTGAACATGCATATATAGAGTCTGTAGCCAGTTTTTTTTTAGAAGAAAGAAGTGAATATCATATCCAAGTAATTTTGGGAGTTGAGCACAGTATAAAACATACAAATAAAACATTGTCTAGAACTGTACATAAATATATGAAGAGNTTTTCTTTTTCTTCTACCCTGAAGATGGGGGCGATACGTTCCTCCGAAACGTCGGTTAACAGCACATATACACGGTGCCAAATCCCAGAAGACTGCTTTCTTCATGTGTTGTGACTGTTTATAGAAAGTTTTGTTATTAGCAGTAAGACATGCATATGATGTAAGCATCATCTGAAATCAGAAATAAATATGTTTTGATTAGTTGTACACTTTGTATGTTAATTTTAGGTCACTCTGGTGATTATTATACACCCTGTTGTCTTCTAGGATGTGACACCATGTGATTTGGTTATAAACAATTTAGGGGAACCTGCTGCCTCCATTTTCAGAGTAGAAATATAATGTTGGCACATATCTACCAAACTGTATGGTATCACATGCCAGGAGAGCATATCATAGAGGATTTTGATGTTTGTAGGAACTCATTCGCAGCATGTCTGAACGGAATCCAGCTCGCAGACAGTCCGCTGAAGTTTATCTTGCCCAAGAACGTAATAGAGTTTTCCCTGAGTATTTCTACTCATTTCTACAGCCCTACATGCTCATCTTCTCTGCTGCTCCCATACTTTCTCCAGATGAGAAGATTTCCAGGTACTCATAGTTCTGCCATGAATTATCTTAAATCAAGTTAGTATAAAAAGGAAACATGTATTACTGAACTTAAACCTCTGTGTAAAAACAGTTCAGAAACAAACACATCATCGGAACTGGCTAGAAAGAGCAGTCTATAAAAATGACATTTTAACCAGTATGGGTATGATTATGGTGTGAAGTTACATTTATTGCTACATAGCAAGCATTACAAGGTTGTGTATGTGTCATGCACACAGAGATAAATCATTTCCAAACCAACTCTCAGATTTCCAGAAATCCAAACAAATTTGCATGCTTTATGGATGCAATTTTATGTATGAAGTATTGAAAATTAAGGGTATACATATGTACAGATCCCATATCCAGATTAATTAAATAATCCTGTATAATCATGTATAATTTGTCACACATCCAATGATCAGAGCATGGAAGTCACTATCTTGTAACACAGAACTGTATAATGGTGACAAGCCATTGTTTATTTACTTTCCCTTGAAGTTTGAAAGGAACACATTTTTTAAATATCTTCAGAGCCGGTGACCACAACCTGGTGTCATCGCGCACAACTAGAAATAAAATTAGGGGTATTGGTATTCATACAGTTGGGGCAGATAAACATCTGAGTGAGTCTTGGATGCTTTGTAGGCTGAGGAAGGATATGCAGAACATTATCAAGATACTCAGAACTGATATTGGTGAGGAGAAGGGGAGTGTCGAGAGTGGTGATGGAGACTGGAAGGAAAGGGAAGAAGACGGTGGTGACAGTGAGAATTCAGAAGCTGATGGACTGGTCATCATTACTGCTTTGGTTACATCCTGTATAAGGTGTGTATTTGCAGTGATCTATTTCCAGTTTATCTGGCATAAAACCTGCATCGAAGAAAAAAGATCCCTTTGTCAGATTTTTGTAAAAATATTCAAATTTTTCATTTTCTCTGATACTGGTATTGTAAATAAATTTCCTAATTGATTCCTAGAATTTGATTTATATTCAACGTTTTCCAACTACTGTAGTTATTTGAAAAAGAATCAGCCCAAAATGTTAAATTACCTTAAGCCGATGAAGACCGAGGAAAGTAAGAAAGATTTTTTTCCCCCCCCCCCCAGGAAACAGGTACAAACCCATATTTATTTTTTCATAATAATTCATTTTAACATGGCTACACAGTTTTGTTTCTTTTTAATTTATTTTCTTGCTTTCGATCAAATGATGCGTTTGGAGAACTGCTGCAGGAGGATTCAGTGATCCTTCTCATTTCCTTGAGATAATGTGTAACAGAGTTACGTATGAATGTGAAGAAGTGTGCATAATGTATTTCTCACCATTTGTTTCAATGAAAGCAATATAAAATTGACGCTTTTGCAAATTTTGTTCACATATTGCTGTGTTTCTGTTTGTATGATTTTATATGAATAGAAATATTGGAACACTGCTATTATCATATTCTTTTATTGAAATGTTATGTGGTGAAATATTTATGTAGTTGACATGCTGTCCACATTTTCGTCACATTTCAGAGGTTTACATCATTGCACATCCAAACTACACTGCCTGGATATGTTGCTTGAACTGGCAGTCCATACGTCCTCTGAGACAATCTTGGATCGCATACTTCCCTATGTTGTAAGTAGTCTGTGCTTCTAGAACGCTCTGAGTTCATAGTTTTATACAGCAATTGGAAGTAGAAAGTCAGACTGCCACTACAGTAAGAGTAATGGTTGAACTATTTGTGTAAGATGTGGCCTACACGGGGAAGCTTTTACCATTCTCTCCTTATTTTATAAGGAATGATGGGCTTGCAGAATCATCACGGCAATACATTTGATCACATGTGTATCTTCTAATAACTTTTAAACTAGTTGACAGACTTTCATTAAGTTTGTTATGAGCGCCATCCAACTAGAACTGCCTGGCTTTTGTATTTGTAATTCCTTTTGTATTTTTTTTTAATTGCTAGTGGGGTGGGACTAAGTCCATTGCACTGGGCCACTTCTGGCGTATTGTACCAGCCCCAGAGGATAGGTAAAGGTGATCGTGGAGCAATTGGTGGAATGAAGATTGGCAGGGGAAACCGAAGTACTCAGGGAAAACCTGCCCCAGCACCACTATGTCCACCACACATCCCACTTGACCATACCTGGGATCGAACCCAGGCCACCGCGGTGGGAAGCCAGCAACTAACCGCTTGAACTATGGTGCGGCCATTCCTTTTTGTAAATAATATTAATCTGGTGGACATAAAAATATGTGAGGTGGGAGTGACACTAGCATCACTTAACGTCGGATTCTGAACTTTTTGTTGGAATTGACCATTGAAAGATATGCAACTTTTTCTTTGATGAACATGCTGCCATATTCCAGAACATGCAGGTAGAATGCTTGGTTCACTGTTGACATATCAATTGTCATTGGTTCAGATACTTTTTCAGGTTAGCTGTTTAACCTGTTGATTGGTCAAATCTTTACCAAAAATGTCTTCACTTCCATCTGGAAATTGTATACCCCTCTTATTGTTCCTCCCTTAAACTTATAATTATCATGGAAATACTCTCCAGTTTTAGTAAGAATGGATTATAGAGCCTCTGTTCTAATAAAAATATAGGTAAAAATGTAAAATATGAAAGGTAAAGGTATCCCTGTAACAGACCGGGAAGGCCCATAGGGTTGTGAGACGTTGAGGCTCCCACAGTTTCTAGACAATCAGCTCACAGATGGCAGTGAGGTTGTCAACCTTACGCACCGGCTGTTCTTTACCCCCAAGAAGATTTCTGGTACTCATTTCTGTTGGAGGCTGAGTCGGCCCCAGGGCCATAATGCGGCTGGAAGGATTAGGTGAATTTAAAAAATCCACCACCTCATTGGGACTCAAACCTGTGACCTTCAGGCTTGTAGCATAGTGCTTCAGTCAGCTACACTACCATGTGCCCCTTCTAACAAAAATGTACCCTAATAAAGTACTTGCTGCTACCAAAAATGAACTGAATCTCAGCATCTGTATGATGCAGGAAATCTTATATATTTATGTTCTTTTTTCACTTTAAGCAGCTATCAGGTCCATGAGGAACAGTGTGGTGAAAATACAATGAACATCTTTAAATTAGAAACTGAAGCGAGTTTTTGTCCAAAATGTGTTGTTAAACCTATAAATCTTCAGAAAGGGATATTGAACATGTATTTTTAGTCTTGTTTAATTAAAGGCTTGTTCATTCCAGATTCACCTGGTTCGTGATCCATTCCCTCGTGTCCGTGTGAGAGCAATACATACAGTCACCAATTGCTTGGAACTTGTGAAGTCTGTTCCTTGCAGTGATGCCAACATTTTTCCTGAGTATGTGTTACCTGGTCTTGCAGCGGTGAGTGGTATTTGGTATGTCATGTTTTGGAAGATAAGTTTATGTGTTGCTGCCAGACAATAATGCTCCATATTATGTTATATGATTTAAACAAACCCAGTAAAACTTTATTATAATAAATACTTTCACATAACAAGAAAAATATTCTTTGTTCGATCATGCTAGAATGTGATATCTTTAGACAAACTTCAGTCACTATATATGGAGAATTCCCACAAAAAAAAATCCAGCAAGTGTGGAAAGACTGTTACTTAAAATATCATTCTTATGCGTTCACATTTATAAAAGTTTCTCAACAAAATGTGTGTAGTATTACATGTGTTTCTTGTGCTCTGCAGGTTTTGCATGAAACATTTTAGATTAAGTTAAGCAAATCAGATTAACAGTAACACATCTTAAGATTGGGGTCTACCAGTATGTAGAAAGGTACCAGCATTTTGGACTGACCAGGTTGGTATAGCAGTAACACTCTACGCTTGTATTCAGGAAGTGCTTGGTTCAAATCTCTGTCACAGCACTGAACATTATGGTTTGCTCAGTCTTGCCAAACAGATGACAGTGTAATATCTTAGGCCATGACCACTTTTTTTTAATTAGTTAATCACAAATCATTCTACCATATGATCTAGTATAGTTTGAGATGCTGACAGCATTGTCAAGAAAACCACAAAATCACCATCAGCATTTTGGAGGAACTTCCTGTTTCTGTCTTTAGGATAGAAGAGTAAGCCAAATTGGGAAAAATAGAGTGGATGTAAGGGAGGAGGACCGGTCCCTGAAGATGGAAACAGCAAGTTTCTTCAAAATGTTGATACCTCCCTACTAAGCAGCATGGTCTCACCCTCCCAGAAGAGTTTAATCTGAATATTTGCCACCTTAAGAACCTCAGTCTTAAAGAGTACATCTGTTTTCTGTACGGGGCATACTCAATACTGGTCTAATATGAGGAACTGGCTTCCTGAGTGAGGTTTTCCTCAGACTTCAAACAAATGCTGGGATAGTACCTTAAAACAGGTCACCAGCAGCTTCATTCTGCAGCTTGTGAATTCATTATTGATTACTGTCTACATATCTGACACTGTATAACCTTCGTGGTTGAGAAAGAATTGTTAAAGACATCAAATAACACATAGACAGTATGTTTTCCTAAGAAAAATATTCATGTTATCTCCATATCAATGTCCTAATTCCAGGGATTATGTTACGTATCTCATCCCACTTCTTCACCTAATCACCAAGTGAAGAATACAAACAGTGAAACCTCCCGTTACAAGTACAGTTATTCTCTCAACAGTTTGATTTCAAGTACTTTTATCTCTCATTTTTTTACCACAGTGTGAACCCAAGTTTCTGATTCATACAAAAGAATGGAAAGAATTAGAGTCTGTTTGTAACTAAGGATTAACAATTCTGAACTGCACTGTAGAAACTAATTAAAGTAAGATAATTGGTACAAATTATTAATAACTCTAACAAACATTTTCTATAAAATTACCAGCAGTTTATACCAGTATCTCATCACCCATTACACCATAGAACAGTGCTGTCCAACGTTCTTATGTACTCGGGCACAATTCACTGATGCCTATGGAGGTGCGGGTGCCACCACACACTACTACTACTAGTACTTAGTACTTCTACTATTACTACTACTACTACTACTACTACTACTTCTAATAATAATAATTTAAGTGCAAAACTTAACAGCTCAGAGGCCATTTGCAAAATGAGCGCGAATAAAGAAGAAAAATACACAAAATTATAATAATAATAATAATGATTTATTTAAGTGCAAAANTGGTTGTCCGGGCAGCATATGCGGAGAATATTGCCCGATTGGCCAAGACAGCAATGCGGTACCTAGACCAGTGCCATCCCAAGATGCAAGTCACGGATAATGGGGGAGGAGCCGCTCCAAGCTATGAGTCAGAATTGCAGACATTGCATGAGATGATACAGCATGCAGTTGCTATGCTCCTTACTGATCCCTGCAACCTGGTGAAACAGACACTCATGGAAAACGGAATTACAGAGCTATGTGTTTTCTTCGGCAAACAGAAAGGTATATCTGTCATGTTATGTATGACTAATGGCTAATGTGTGAGTTCTTCAGTATGAATGATCTTCATTCTGTCAAAATAACTATTAAAACAAAAACAAATAAAATGACATATCATTATGCATGTTTTCCAGTGATGTAAACAAATTTATTTCAAATGAAGAAAGCAGTCTTCTGGGATTTGGCACGGTGTATATGTGGTGTTAACCGACGTTTCGGAGGAACGTATTGCGATACGTTCCTCCGAAACGTCGGTTAACACCACATATACACGGTGCCAAATCCCAGAAGACTGCTTTCTTCATAGTCACCGCCGTGAAAGCCTCAAATCTTACTTATTTCAAATGGCTACTGTATTCTGGGAACTAATGCTGTGTAGTCCGTTGAAAGTCGACCGACGTTTTGGAGGAATATGTCGCCTCTATCTTCAGGGTCAGAGAATAAGTCGAGCAACATAGCAGCGTGAAAGCAGGTGATATGTTTTTCCAAAATATGGGTTGACTTACAACAGGCTACACAGCATTATATCCCAGAAGATAGAGCTCTTCGTGACCACCGCTGTGAGAACCTCAAATCCTATCAATTTATTTCAGTTTAGAACAGTTGATAATACTGTTCAGAAATTAAGAAAATACTGTGTACCAAGTAATTCTTTAAAATATAGACACACTCATATGTAAGGTTATTCCAAAATCTAGTAATACAACGTACTTCTTTCCATACCTATTTCACTTACTTTAAGCAAAATGTAAAATCAGTAAACTGAGGAAATGTAATCAAAGTGTTTGGTGTTGACACATGACTCTGCTTCGTCTGTTTTGTATCATTTTCTTCCCATGCTATGTCCAGTTTGTATGTTAAAGCAATTATTAATTGTCATGAAAATTGTCATAATGTTTTATGTTCACTACTTCAACCACACAGTAGCAATAAGAACTGTACAGTATATTGAATGTCATATGTTTGTTTGCAGCTAATGATGTGTTGTTGTCACATATGATCACATTCCTTAATGATAAGGAGGACAAACAGCTGAGAGCTTCATTCTTCAAGTGTATCATTGGAGTAACAGCATATGTAGGTTGGCATTCTTCACCAATACTAACACCTCTGCTGCAGCAGGTAATGGTACCTTGCACACGGTATCTGTACTCGTAAGTTCCAAGTCTTTGCTACATTTTAACAGACCTTATCATGCTTTCTCTTGTTGTAGACTACCATGAGTTTATTGATAATGTATATAACTGTCTTACTCTGCATGATATAATATTTCTATAAGGAAATTCTTAAAAAGCACTAGTTAACACTTTGGGGTCATTATATCTGGCGTCAATGTGGGGGAGGATCACATACCTTGATCCATCAAATTTAAAGTGCTTACAGTTTTATGTCATTCTACTTAGGCATAAGGGTAACTTTAAGTTATACTGCATAGATATTTATTTTGTATTTATGAAATTGATCATAAATGTACATGAAGGAAATTTATTTTGTCCATGATGAATTTAAGCACTATTCATTTATTCAGAAAACTAGACAGGAAATAATATTTCTTAAAATTGAAATTTTTGTTATTAATGAGAATCATTGTATGGGCTTGAGTATTTTATTTGTTCCTCATTTCATCTACACAGGTACTCTCCCTTGAGGATAAAGTGACTTAAGTTTTCATGTACAGAAGAAAGCTTTGTGGGTGAGAGAGAGTTCATCTGTGTGTGTGTGTACTTGTATGTGCACGCGCTCACACAGTTGTGTGCATGTACATGTGTTATTTATGTAATATGTCTCAAATAAAAGCCCTTCTGAGAGGACACTTTTCAGATATCCATCTTGTCATGCTAAATACTGACAAATTAAAAGTTTTATTTCACTAGTATGTATGCGGATGTACATGTTTATGTCCTTATGTGCCTGGTGTACTTGTCTTTGATTTGTGCTATTGAAATATTCAATACCAAGTTTTTGTTTTCAGGGCCTTACAGATCCGGAGGAGTTTGTGATTGTGAAAGTGATAGAAGTGATGACATCCCTCACTGAGTCTGGGCTCCTACAGAAGTCAAGTTTGTATGATTTTCTGAGTGATGTGGCGTGCTACCTAGTTCATCCAGACTTATGGATACGACAGGTACCTTTAGGAGCTTGAACCTGTGGTTTCCCTGTGTTTAATAATAACTGATTGTTCTTGGCTTTGCAGAAAGTGTTTTATTATTAGATGAAATTGTCTTCATTTCTGAGCTTCATAGTAAAAATGCAGTTTTAATAATGCCCAGTTCTGGGAGGAACTTACTCGTATGTTGTCTGCTCTCAGTTAAGTTCTTTTGTCTGAACAGTGGTTACAGATATTTTTTATGTTTATCTTAATGGTCTGTATTTATGTACAGAACTGTAAGGCTTATTTTGGACTTTATCCATCGTCTGGTATATATAAGACAAAAAATCACAATGTTTTGGAGACTAGATCTGTCTCCGTCCTCAGGTGGATGGGGCAGGATAGACCTACTCAGTTTGGTCCATTAGAAAGAGCTAGTCTCAATCACTGGTCCATGGAAACGCAGTCTATAATGAGGAATTATTTCACAGTTCTTTCAATAAACACAGTACTGTAATAATTTGAGCACTATGGAAAAAAATTTGGTCACCATTTTTTATGGGGATGCTAATATCATGGCAGTAACGCTTCTTTCATTGTCTGATTGGTGGAAGGGCAATTTCCTGGCTCACAGATTGTAGTGTACCAATAAATAAAACGTGGACCTGATTGAGGTTAGCTCTTCTAACAGACCCAACAGGGTAGGTGTCTCCCACCCTTTCACCTGAGGATGGGTAAAAGTTAAGTTGTCCCTGTGCTGAACTAATTAAACACTCTGCCATGAATACATATGAGGAAGTGGATATATAGATCCATGTATTCTTGACCTCGGCACTAGTTGGAGGTGAGTGGTCAGCTTCATGCCCCAGCTCCTTTACCTCCAGGGAAGTAGCCCCTGGTGCCAATTGGTTAGGAGGCTGGGTGGGCCCCAGAGCTGGTTTGGATAAGATAGAAAAGTGAAAATTCTTCACTGTAATGGGACTTGACCTCTGACCCATCGGTTGTCCCATCCATATCCAGTCACTATACCAACTGTCCTATCCACATGAGAATGGGTACAGATCCATTTTCCAGAACATTCCGTTCTTTAGAATACTGGGCAGTGGGCAAAGTTCAAAACCCCAGTAATCCCGAGCATTATACACCATTGGCAAAATCCATTAGAAACCACTCCATCGGCAGAGTTTCCTGAAAGTAAAAGACAAAAGTTGAGAGTCTTCTGCAGTGACACATCAGAAGCATCTGCTATAATAAAATGTTAGCAATTAAACACAGTATTGATTTTGATAGGACATTACAATTCCTTGAATGCTCAGATTTTCCTTTGTCTGAGTTCATCTTCCACCCTTTAATTGTAAAGAATTAGTGAAGCTATTTCTCTATGGAATTATTTAAGCCCTGTAAAAACTGAAAAATTTAATGTATGCTTGTTGCTAATTTTTATTTAACTAGTGCATTCATGCCAAAAATGACTTACATTGGAAATTTTACAGCAAAATTATGCACAATTTAAAATTACTGAGATCAGACCATTGGTACCATTGCAAGAAATAATTGGTTTTAACTGTTATATGATTTGCTTATTGGCATGTTGATTTCATACTTTCTCTATAAAAAAGATTAAATAACTTGATTCTGCAGAGTCCAGCATTCTGGAAACTTTCTTTTTCAAATTTGTGCACCATCTTTCTCTCTCCACATGGCAGATATAGTCTAAATTCATCCTCTGTTTCCATGATAATGTGTCTTACATGAAAGTGGTATTTGAATACATGACACACTTACCAATTCTCCATGAAGTCATATAAAATTCTGACTGTTGACTTCTTTTTTTATCCTTTACATACCCACAGAGTTACTTTGTTGAGTATGTATGTATATATATATTCCGGTCTATAAAACAGAGATTAAAGGCTGTGGGAATCCATTGCGCTGACCGTGCGACACACTCTATCTGCAAAAGTTGGCGCTAACTTCGCTGATAAGTGGCGGTCACTCAGTCGGTATAGTTCGCTTGGTGACTAAAGGCCATGGAGGAATATATATATATTTTCCAATATAAAAACACTGGATTCTTCCTGTTCCTTTACAGCACAGCATCATACAATCCATGCTTTGCCTGAACTTGCTTCCTAGTTTCAAACATAACCTCTACCAGCAACCCTTGTTATTATGCTTACTGTTGATAATGAGGCAGATTTCCAGGGGTAAGGGTGCATGTGTATCAGGACACAAGGACTAGTTATATGTTTGTACACAGGCTGTGGTTGGCTTCGTGAGCTCGATGGCACGTGTGTTGGACATAGTAGATGTGCAGTGCAAGGTGATGGTGGCAATACAGCCATACCTATGTCACCAGGTGATTCAGGCTGAAAGGGAAGTAAGTACAAGAATCAGGCTTAGTTCTTATATGCCTTGAAACAATGTTAAGTTTCTTTTTTTTCGAAACAGCATTTATCGAAATAAATATTTTTTATTATGTGGATTATCCTTTTGGCTTTTCAGAGTAAACGTTCTTAGAGTAAGAACACCTCTTATGGACTGATGTATTGATATAAGTAATATTAAACAGCTGTCAGTAGTTACATAATTTTTACTTAATTATTACCCACTACATGTGTTCATGTGTAGCATATCAAGTGGACACGCTTTATATACAAGGGTGGCCGTGCCATAGCTCAAGCGGTTAGTCACTGGCTTCCCACTGTGGCAGCCCGAGTTTGATCCCGGGTCTGGTCAAGTTGGATTTGTGGTGGACAAAGTGGTGCTGGAGCAGATTCTCTCCAAGTACTTTGGTTTCCCCTGCCAATTTTCATTCCACCAATTGTTCCACAATCACCCTCACCTATCATCTGGGCTGATAAAATAGGCCAGAAGTGGCCACAGTACAAGGGACTTAGTCCCACCCCACTAGCAATAAAAAAAATTATATACAAGGGCTATTTTGTTTACTGTTAACTGAAAAACGAAGATAAAAAAATTATTATATAAAAAAATACATACCTAAGCTACTTTTCAACACAGTCATGGCTGGAATTGAGATGCTTGTCTCATCGGGAAATAGTTTTTTGTATACCTGTGTCAAAGAAGTCTGCCACCTGTGAGCTCAGCCATGTTTTGACACTTCCTGTAATTCCTCATTGTTGAAGTGCTATGATTGCAACCAGCTTTTTGGGTAGATAAATGAGTGGTAGTCACTTAGGGTGAGATCAGGGCTGTAAAGAAGGTGATCAAACAACTCCCAGTTGAAATGCTCCAGCAGTACTTGAGTGCAAGCAGCTGTATGTGGACATACAGTGTGATGGAGGAGCACTACACTGAATGTCAGCATTCCACCCCTTTTGTTGTGAATGGCCCTGTGTGATTCTTTTAGTGTTTTGCAATACACTTCTGACATTATTGTGGTCCCTTATTGCATGAATTCCACCATCAGCACTCCTTTCCTGTCCCAGAAAATAGTTGCCATCAGCTTCCTGGTAAACAACATTTGTGTAAACTTTTTGGCTGTTTGCTGAATGTGTGTGCATACGCTGCTTTGACTGCTGTTTGGTTTCAACACTGACAAATGAAACGGAGATTTCATCAAGTGTTATGATGCGACTGAGAAATTCATCACCATGTTTGTGGTATTCACCTAAAAATTCAAAACTGAAGCCATTCTCTGTGTTTTGTGTGCGGCTCTGAGCATTTTCGGAACCCATCTTGCCTAAAACTTGTGATAGCCTAGCCTAACTGTGATATCGTAGAGAACAATGCGTGAAATTTGTGGAAATTCATGCAAAAATTCTAAAGCTGTGAAGTACCTTCATTCATATTTGTTTGGGGGGGGGGCAACACTTTGAATGAAATCATCGCTCACTACAGATTGCAGGACACATCATAACACTCTGTAGAGACAAGAATAAACACTAAATGACCAGTTATGTGATGGTTTACAAGGCAGTGAGTCATGTGATGCTGTCTCACATGTGTGAGCTCTCCCCCACTCCTACATACTTGCCTAAAATAAATAGAGTTACTTTCCTAAGAACCATTGTACATAGTTTGGTCATCAACAGTGACATTGCCATGACTTGCATCATTTAGTATCACATGCATTGTACAAAACAGTGTGGAATGATTGCATTCAGAAATGATACAGTAATGTTCTGTATTTGTATTACTAGATTTAGCAAGGTGATAATGAAGTGGAAAAACAAGCATTTTTATGTGGGGGTAGGGGGTGTAGAAGCATGTTTGCTAGTGTTCTCATGCTTGGTTTTGGCCTCAGGGTCAAAACATTCTGCTTCCCAGCAGATGTGGAACTTCAGACTTTTCACAAATTTTATGATACACATTAGTTGTTTGGCAGGATGTATACTGCCAAGTACCTGTTGAAAAAAGCCATGGAACAAGGATTTTATTGCCAGGTATGATAACAGTGGAAGTGATATGTAAATATTAGAAGTATATGAGTTGCTTTCATCTTAAACTTCTCTTACTTAACTTGATTTTTGTTTAATATTTCACATAATTTTTGTTCCTTCCAGTGCTATCATTTTTGAAGGCACACTGAATTTAAGTAATTTTGAGCAGTTTTAGAATATTGAGTTCATACTTAGAATGTAAGAACAGCCACCATTCAACCTTGCAGACATCAGAGAACAGCAACACTATGTATTTAAATTTGTTACTTTTAGGAAATACTTCTCAATGCTCTTGTACAACCAATACCTCGAGTGGTGTTTGACAGTATAATACGGTGCTCTGATGTTGAATCTCTTCTGGAAACACTGGAAGAACGTCAGCGGGCTCGTGGATTAGTGAATGCAGGGCATGTACCTCAGAATGTCGAGCCCCATCCAGCACTGAAAAATGTGAGTTAAGTTTGGAACCAGATGATAATTTATCTCTGAGTATGGTGGAACTTGGCTGCACCATAGCTCAAGCGGTTAGTCGCTGGCAGTTAGTGGCAGCCCGGGTTCAATCCCGGGTCTGGTCAAGTGGGATTTGTGGTGGACAAAGTGGCGCTGGGGCATGTTTTCTCCAAGTACTTTGGTTTCCCCTGCCAATCTTCATTCCACCAATTGCTCCACAATCGCCCTCGCCTATCATCTGGGGCTGGTACAATTGGCCAGAAGTGGTTACAGTACAAGGGACTTGGTCCCACCCCACTAGCAATGGTGGGACTTTATTAAGGTAAGGACCAAGAATAATGGAAGAAACCTGAATCACTCTTCTGTATCTTCTGTGCTTAGATATGAAATGTGTAAGTTTATGTAACTGTATTACAATATTGTTACAGTAGTTATATAAATTTAGAACCCAATTATGTCTCCTAAAACTTTTTCCATTTTAAATTTTCGTGAGTTTGCTTTTATTGCTGTTCATGGGAACCTTAAATGGTAGTTTCATTACAGTTCATACTTTCCACTTCACATGCTTATGGTAATTAAATAAAAATAATTCAGATATGCCAGATACATATAATGTGCACTGTGTATGGAAAAAATAAAAAAAGTATTGATGGTAAAATGTCAGAAAAGATTCCATTAGAAAGGCTGAGATAGAGATGGAAGGATAATATTAAAATTGATCCTGAGGATATGAATTTGATTGATCTGGCTTAGCACAGGTTCCGGTTCTAAACTTTTAGAAGTCTGAAATTTCATGGACATCTGTCACCATTGCCTTTTTACGAAACTCTATGTACCATGGAGTGATAATGAAATATGACCTTCTTGTAATCCTGTGGAATAATGAATTTGAAGACTGAAATGGAGAACATTTAATGCTTAAATATTTGCTATAAAATCTTAGTTTGCAGAATATTAAGTAGGTAGTTTAATTTGTTATGAATACAATACAGCTGATGTTTCTCTAAGGTTACAGCATCAAAATCCAGATAACTTACATGAAAAATTCACTCATAATGCAGAAAGAAGGTAATCATTAATGTGACATCTGTTAATTTTTCAGTGGGTGGGCTGTGAGAAGTGTCTGCAGCTTGCATATAATTGTCATATGCAGTTCCAGATTCTTACTAGGTACACAGTATGATGCAGTGAGGAATTAGAGCGTTGTTTCTCTGCGTTGCAGCTATTCCGTCGTTTGAGCTCTGAGGGCATGACAGATATAGTGGAGGACCAGTTGTTGTCCATGTCCCGGCATCTTAGGAAAATACAGCGTCATCGTATTGGTTCAGATACAAATAAGACTGCCAGTAGGATGTTGGATGGCAAGGTATACTGACTTAGGCATGTTACAGTTTCCTGTTCTTTTATAATTTCCTTCAATTTTGTTCCATTAAAAATACAGTCTTACTAATTTCATAATTTTATCAAAAAATGTCTTAAGTGCTTTTGAGATCTTTGTTTCAAATGTGATGTTTACCCAGCTGTTATAATTGAAGGTAGTTCATTAATATTTATCATTCTTTCAAAACATATGCACAGCAGAAAAAATCTTCAAATTTTCCTGTTAATTCCTCCTTTAAATGCAATTATAGTGAGTCACAGTGCAAGAGATTCTGCAGAAGTACACTTGTAATGGGTGGCATTACTCGTCAGTAATTAGCTTCTAGGCACATTAAAGCATAGTGAATGCATGTGTGTGTGTGTGTGCATGCACATGCGTGCATATACCTAGGGTCATTACATGAAATACTGCCTGTCCCTAGGATAGCCCTATGCAAGATGGATCTCTCAATAGATAGAAATAAAGAGAGAACATTAACTTAAATCTTTTATTGTGAGTAATTAACATTTATATGTGTTTCAGATTGACTTGCTTAGTTTGAAAGTTCCAGTACCTTGCCATTCCATCCTTCTGCAGCCCCTCACTAAGCCAGACAACATGGCTGCTTTAATTCAAGCCAGGTAAAAGTTCTGCAACATTGTGCCTTATTTGTCCCTTTCCACCCTTTACTTTTTCCCACACTTCTCCTTCTTTATTAACTTTAGTCTTAGTAAACATGTGTTGCTTCTTCTTTATCTCCCTTTACCCTGTCCTCCAAACATCTTATTCTTACTGTTTCTCCCATTTCATCACGTTTTATTGTTTCTTGTTTTCTCCGTACAGTTAGGAGGAATTCAATTCTTTTGGTCTATATGTAAGAAAGATTACATACCTGCATTTCTGATACATGAATTGAAATGGTAAAGCAGTTCATATGTGGGTCCACCCCTTACCTGACAAATGCTCCATTGTTCCTGATTCTGGTTTTTCATTCCCATTCCTCTTTTCTTTATCTGAAAGAAAACTTTTGTTTTAAACCTGGGCCATTATATTGTACATCCATTCAAGATTTCTGTGGTTTACAATGGATGTGAACACTAAGTTGATGAAAATCTTAAGTGATGGAGATGAAATTCTGTGATAAATGACCCCAAGGCACAGACATTTAGTTTCCAAATGTTGTGAAACGTGATAACATTTTTAGTATATTGAGCATTTTCATTTCTGTTTTGTCGTATGGACATTTAATTTTTAATAAAGAGAAATAACAGATAGCATACATCCAGCTTTAGACCTCAGGTTTTGATAGACATGAAGTTAGGAACTTCCATATAATGTTGCAGGAAGTGTCAGAGGACAAAACGTTCAGTAACGAGTAGCGAGTCTCACCTTACTACAATGAACGAAGAATGGCAGCACATGTTTGGTGGGACTCCGGAATCACATAGTCAGCATCGACTCTCTGACGCTGGCAGTGCGTAAGTTGTGATGCTGGCCTTCTCCTTGCTGCTATAAAATATTTTGGAAATACCCTGTGGATTTGGTAGATTGGTAATAGATTTATTCAGACATAAATATTCTGTTCTTTACTACAAATAAGATATAATTTCTTTTTAATATTGCACACAGCAGCTGTTCTACCACCTTACCCCCCTTCCCATTCTCCACAGTACACTAGCAGTTTGCAGTATCTTACTGTAAAGAAATAAATATCAAACAATACATAAACCAAGAAATCATAGAGGGTAGCTACATGTGCCATCCAGCAACAAAGGAAAGAAGTACATGCTCAGAGAGAATTATTTTCTTTTCGCACGAAGTTACTGTCCAAGCTTGTTTGGATATGGTACTTTGGACAGAGGACCAATAATCAACCAAAGTCAGATATGGAAGCAAAAGTGTTTGGTTAATACATATAATCAGTAGTATACTCTTTTCAATTACCAGCACATCACAGTGCAGCATAACAT